TGTTTCATCAAGGCCACCCAGGCTTTTGGTGACAAAGCTGGGTTTAGAAATAATCCAAGCTGTGAAGCTGTTCTTTCAGAGGGAGTAGAACAGTTCGAGTACCATTTTCACAGATCCAAGAACCATTTACCCACAGTGATTCTACATTTATTGGCCCCCACCCAGGCACCAGTTCCAATCCTAATTTTATTGCCGAAATGGTAGGATCCTTTTCTTGGTGGTAGTTTGCTAAAAGCTAACAAAGAAACATGTAGCTTCTATTGCAGAGCATCCATCAACACCAACATGGATGTTGATGTTTAATGTTCCCTCTTCATTTAATGTCTGTTTTATTATGTGTCTTTTAGGCCACATTGCTTACTCATTCTTTGCTTTCATTGATATTCATGGCATGAGTCAATACTTTTAGCTCAGGTTTTAATGCCTTTCTAAAAGGCATTAAAAGGACCCAATGCCTTTGTGCCACAACAAAATGTTTTCTTATGAATGACTTGGCACTGCTAAGTTGGTAAATATACAGAAAATATACAGGTGGCTTGCAAATGTCAGAGCAGATGCTTGCGTTTGAGAGAGGCTGGATTTTTTTTTCATCTCAGCAAAAAAAAAGTAAGGCTCTAAATGCTACTACTAGCTAGCAGCTTATAAATGATGGGCACAGGTATGGGAAAGTGGCTGTAGATTGGGGTTAATGCCAGACAAATGAGTAATTGCCCGTCCCAACATTTTTTCCTGTCTCAGCTCTATTTGAGTTAACTTTCTTTCTTATGGGTCTGCTGCTTCTTTCCCATGGCAGCAGCTTGCCATCTTATTTTGCGGCAGGGCTCCTGTGCATCTAAGAACTGCATAACCAACAGAAATTTAATTGTAGCAGTTTTTCAGTGCTTGTATAATAGAGCCCTTCAGCACTGCTGTTTTGCTGTGAGCTGGAAATGAAATTAAAAACTGTGTTTCCAACATGGCCACTGATGTGGCATTATACTCATTAAAAATCTACAGTACCCATCCACATGGGGAAATGTTTAAGTATGTTTACTTGGAAGAAAGCATGCTTGGGATTGCAGCCTTAAACAGCTGCCATCTCCCAGTCTGGTGGGATTTAAAACAACTCCCCTTTTTAAGGTATAATCATTATTAGATTGCATTTATACCCCATCTTTTTTCCTCTGGTGATGCACCCAAGGCAGTTTACAGAGCTCCACTTTATGCTCACAACAGACCTGTGAGACAGGTTAGGCTGAGAGTGAATGACCAGCCAGGGTGGGAACAATGTGCAAGATTGTGTGTGAGAGGTGGAGACATGTCCTCATCCTGCAAGTCTTGAGCAAGAGGAGGGAGCTCACGAGATAGCATGGTGTCCCCATGTGAGGGGCCATTTTGAGCAATCCCAACATGTGGAAACCTTAGAACAAACAGTTGGTTCTCTACAGTGATTCGCTATAACCAAATGTGCTTGTCATTACGTGCGATTACAGGATATGTCTCAAACATAACCGGATTAGATGGGCCTAGGTGTTTTAACTGGCCTGTTTAGCTGTGTCTAACAGCTATGCAGATGTTAGCAGGTGGAAATGTTCTTTCTGTTGCAAAATTTTTTGCCTGCCCATTTCTGCTGTTAAAGGCACAAGAGCAGCTTTTGTTCTTGCTCTGGTCATTTGCAAATCTGCGTCAGATGTGTGTCTGGCCTTCTTTTCCCAGTTGAGATTCTTTGCCTATCACAACTGGCAAAAATACAACAGGTGAATTTTGGTGTGAAAATAGTGATACATAAAGGAAAATGTCCATCACTTGTTGGGTTCCTGCATCTTGTGCATTTGCTAAAGGCATATGAACCTTGCAATGGAGGGGGGGAAAGCCATGTTGGAAACTCCAGTCCTCTTCTACTCCATTTCCCTTTTTCCACTCAAGTGAGGATTCTGGACCTGTCCACGTTGAAGGCCAGAACTGTAATAAGGGCAAAATAAGTGCAGCAATTGAAATCCATTACACTTTTTCTTTAAAAGTAATTTACTTGAAATCCTATTTATCCTGGCAAAGTCAATTTGAAAACAGGATATAGACAGAAAGTCCAGTTTTAGACAAAGCATTGTTAACAAGTAGCACATGATCCTTCTTACATTTTAAACTTGGGATTTCCATACTACATGGTGGGTGCCAACAATAACGACATTGATTTGTTTCCGGTTGTGGGTGTTTTGTGGAGCTCACTTGGTTTAGAGATCAAGATTTATTTTACTGAAGGGGTGGAGGGAGGAAATCCTTGTGCATCAGAGGAAAAAAGAGCCAGCCAAAGTCAAGCACTTGGAAAATTGAATTGGCTCCTTAAACTCAACCACTTGCAATGAAAATTGAATTAAGTGAATATAATAACAATTATCTGACGGAGTCATTAGAACAAAGACCAGCATCCTAATCCTCTCTAATCTTATGGACCATCACAGGCACAGGAACAAAATTAAGTGATGAAAAGCCTGGAGGACTAACTGTTGGCAGTTTCTTAAGAGAATTTTCCTAGGGTTACACAGAACTTATCGTAAATGCATGTGTTTGAGACTAGCTTTTTCCTAAAGTACAATGGCACTGTACTTTACGCCCACTGAATTCATGGGAACTTACCTGGGAGTTAAGCATGCAAAGGACTGGAACATTAATCCAGTAGCTGCCATTTTTCTTATCAGAAAGGCTGCAATTCTATACCCAATTCTCTTTAGTGTCTTAATAAGAAACACTTGGACACTGTACATGCTTAGTAAGATTTCCTTTGTTTGGAGGGCTTCTTGCATTTCTTCCATTTTGTACTTGGGGCTGGTGGAAGGTCTGTCTGACCTGAGCTTGGCTCAAAGTTCATTTCTGCCACATTTGTTTGTGATATTGCCTTAAGAACAAATGTATCACCAGTACAATTATCAGGTCACTGTAAGTATTCTTACTATTAAATTAAAAGTTGCCCATCCTGGGTGTTGATGAGCCTCTCTTTGATATTGTTTGGTTTTAACTGTTTTGAATTTTAAAACTTTTAATGTATTTTGATTGACGTACTTTATTGCATTTTAATATCTGTTCATATTTAAATATTTGTATTGTACAAGTATTTGTATTTTGTATCTGTTTTATGGACTGTTGTAAACCACCCAGAGAGCTTTGTCTGTGGGGCAGCAAAGAAATGAAATAAATAATAATCAGGGAGATAGCTTAACGTGATCTCAATATTAAACTGAAATTTAAATTTGAAGAGGATGCCATCCATAAAAGACCTAGAACCTACCTCACTCTGCAGGACTCAACTTTGCACTCTAAATCTTGACTCTGACTGGGCTCGCACAATACAATGCACCATGGTTTATAAGCTGTAATGGGTTGCTGTGTCATGCAAACCCGGGACAGGATGGTCAGGATGGTTTAGTTTGGGATAACCCTGACAGCCCATAGCTGGCAGCTGGGGCTATTTGACCCATGCGTTCCCAAGCAACAGCAAGCAAGCTACATGTCAAAAGTTAGCAAAATCCTCTTGCAAAGCAGCTAACCAGTGAGCGCTGCTGACAGCTGCCCCCAAAGCGCCATTTGAAAGCAGCTGTCAGAGGCTTCCCCTGGTTCCTGCCACTAGCCATTTCAGGCTGATAGTATCGGCAGGGAAGGATCTCTGTTTCCATGCTGTCCCTGCCTCATTCTGAGCTGGTGGCACTGGCAGAGAAGTGGAGGCACAGCTGGCTGAAGCAACCTCCACTTCTCCACTGTGCTAAGGGCTGAAAGGAGTTTGGCAAACTGGCAGGCAGTGAGCATTGCTACCACTAACTTGTGAGTGAGGGGTAGCAAAGCCCATGCTCCTGTTCCCTACAGTCAGTGGGGCTTTTGCAGCAGGAAGGGGGCAACCTCAGTGTTCCTGCAGTGTCGCTTGGGATCCCTGCAGAAGGACCGAGAGGAAGTGGGCAAGGACTCCAGATATGTTTGATCATCTTTCAAGTGTGTTGCAAGGCTTTGAACCTTTAGCCTTCAGTGTGTGGCTTATATGCAGTGTGGATTAAAGAGTCCTCCAAACCCACCTTCTGTCTCTCCCTTCTTTCCCTGCACACGTGCTTTCCCCTGGCCAGCTTCCTCCTCTGCAGCAAAGCTTTGCCTGTAAAGCACAGCAAGCAGGATTGCATAGCTGGTTGCCACTTATTGCCCCATTCTAGAAAATGGACTCTGTTTCTCCCACTATTAGTCTTGATTCCAACCAGGTGCAAAAGAGGATGGATCTCCTGTAATTTTGGGTGCAGTTGGCTAGAAGAAGGAACTTCAACAGGTTTAGCATGACAAGGTATTAGTAAACATGCATGGCTACTGCGTCTTCCCTTGGACTCGCTCAAACCTGCCCTGGCAGCAGGTTTTCATTAAAAGGGTAGCCTAGCTGTTTACAGTCCTGTTGCTGTGCTGCTCCCTCTGAGTCTTCTTTTTTGCACTCTCTTTAGGTTTGAATCCTGTGGAGTTGGAGATGAAGTTTTCCTTTAAGAGTGGGAGGGAAAACATATTGGAGGACTGGCACTGGTTGTTCAATGTGAAGAGGGGAATTCTTAAGTTTTCCAACTTAGATGAGAAAAACATCCCACTCAGATGGCTGTCCAGTTTCTTTTTGAATGTTTCTAGTGTGGGAAAGCTCACCACGTCTCTAGGCAGCTGGTTTCACTGTCCTATTGCTCTGACAGTGAGGAAACTTTTCTTGATGTCTAGCCCAAATCTGGGTTGTTGCAGCTTGAACTGATTATTCTATGTCCTACACTCTGGTGCAAGAAGAGATCTTGACCTTCCTCTTTGTGACAGCCTTTGAGGTACTTCTAGAGGGATATCATGTTACCCCCCCAGTCTTCTCTTCTCAAGGCTGAACAGGCCCTGTTCTCTCTGTCTCTCCTCACAGGGAAGTTTCCAAACCCTGGATCATTTTTGTTGCCCTCCTTTCTGCATCTAAAACATTAATGCTCATTTTCGATCTTCATATGAATGGACCAAAAGGAGAGTCATGTTCCTACCTGTCTTCAGAGGCCCTTCTGAAGGAGCCCCCTGCTCAGGAAATGAGGAGGGAGGCTACAAAGAGAAGGACCTTTTTGGGAGTGGCACCCTGACTTTGGAACCAGCTCCCTAGAAAGGTTCACCTGGAGCCCTCTTTGTATTTGTTTTCACACCAGGCAAAGACCTTTTTATTTTCCCAATATTTTAATTGTTACAGTGATTAATGGATTTAATGTTTTATATCTGGTTGTTATTTGTTGTTGTGCCTTTTTGTGTTGGGTTTGTACAATCTATGGCTCTGTGAAGTTTTTACAATGGCGTGCTTTTGCTTGTGGTTTGTTAGATTTTGTTGTTTTTTAAATCACATTTTTTGTATATTTTTAAACTTTGTAACCCACCCAGGGAGTGTTATGGCTAATAGGACAGGATAAAAACCCAATAAACAAACAAATAAAGGAGAGCGTGGCTAGATTCTCAACCATTCTCTGTAGCAGCACCATTAGCAACAATTCAGTTTCAGACATGAGCAAGTTGAGGTTTATCTCCATGCTTGATATTTGCAAATTAAATGGGGATCAAGTGCAGGTAGAAGCAGATTTTCCTGGGTAGGTCATTCCAGGTAGAATATTACAAGAAAAGACAATAGGGAGAATTTAGAACAGTGACAATTATTTGGTTTTCTTCAATATATGCCAAGATGGGGAAAAAACCTCATTTAGTTTCTATTTCCTTGCAGTCAGCACACAAATCTGCATCAGAAGTAAAGCTATCAGTGAAGTTTCTGTCACAACCCACTATTTTCTCTAGATATGTCTTCCATGTGGTTTCCCAACCATTTTATTTCCAAGTTATTTCTTGGAAAAAGGACAAAAACGCCTTACATAAATTCTTACCCTTTGAGTCAGTTTTCTAGCTGTGGCAACTGCTAGCTAGTAACTGGAAAAGAAAAATGGTTTCTGTACATTAATAATTGGGTAGAGAGGAAATTCAACTGGTGTAGCTTGCAATGCAAAGAAATAAAATCATAGTAAAGTAAAACTGAGGGAGAATTTTGCTTTAGTTAGCAGTTTTTCTCTGGCAGGCCTCTTGATTCTAGTGACATAACTGGTGAAGTTTGGTCCATTACTTTATTTTGTGGTTGTTTCCTGATGTGCCTTTTAGTGTACAATCCCATCACCTTGCCTCAAGTCACAAAATTTTACTGGGGTGTTCAGATAGTTTTCCATTTGTAACCTTGTCTTATTTTCCAGCAGCTTCTCCTGTCATTTTTTACCACCAAAAATCCATTAAGATGGAAAACACGGAATAACTGTGCAATGCCTTTGATCAGCAGTACTAAGTCTGCTCTGCATTAAATGCATAGTCTCTGCCCAATTTCTGCATCTGCTAAAACCCTGAGAGGTGAGTCCTTATATTACTCAAGCATTGCACTTGCTTTTTTTATGGACAGTAGTTTGAAACAAACTGGTTCGCCACCCTTTCTAATATCTGTGCTTGCATTATTCTGCAATGATATATAGTGCTATAATATGTTCCTTTATTTCTCCTGGAATTGCAATTTACTTTGCAAAAATCAAGAAATGGTGTTTTTTCACCTTTCCATCTCATCATCTCATGATGCTGTTAAAATTACATTTCTTTAAACACCCAAAATATCTTCTTAATAATGACAGGAGCCTTGGAAAATTGACCAGCATTCGTAGCCTTTCTTTGCAGAGGGACTCTGCGCGAGCGTGCACCGAGGCTGAGCAGGTTGCAGCGAGATTTGAACCTGCACTTGATGGTTAACTGTTCATTCATACAGGAACCCGCTATAGACAGAGTCCTTCCCTTCGTCCATCCAACCCAGTATTGTCGACACTCAATGGCAGCAACTCTTGCACGCTTTCAGGCAGGAGTTTTGACTTTCACTGCATCCTCTGAGTTCCTCAATCAATTCCTTCATCAATTCCTCCTTTGGAACGGACCCGCAAGTTCTTTGTCGCGTAAAAGCAGCGCTGACTGCCATTCTCTCCTGCATTTAAAGCGTCTTTTCTCACACACTTACTGTTCAAAAAGATCCTCGTGCTTTTTGAAAAGACGCTACCAAAACAGCGGAAGGCGGAGGGGGCGCCGAGTCCGGCCGGTGACGGGTTCTTCTGGCCTGGATAACAGCGGATGAGGAGTGGCTTTCACTTTCGCCCTCGTTTTATGGGATTTCCCGGCATGGAAATTCCAGCCACCTTCCTACGCTCCCCTCTCAAGCCCATCTCCCCCCCCCCCCACCTAACACCCACCGTTATAAAGAGGTCGAGATGGGGCCCCGGTGCACTACACTCCTTGCAGAGCCAGCGAGTACCTGGAAGCAGAGACCAGCTCCAAGTTGCTTGCGGGCAAGCCTCGTCCCAGGGAAATGGCACGACTCGCCCCAGCAGTGAGCGCGCTTTTGCTGCTCGTGTCCGTCGGCACTTGTGAGTTGGGGCGTTTGGCGGGGTTTTATAATATGTGGTGTAGAAGCAAGCCTGTGTTTGGACGAGATTTTGGCCTTTTTCTAGTTGAGTCTAGTTGAATCCGCGTCCCCCGCCCTGCTCGCTGCAGTTCAGAAAATAAGTTCGTTAGGCTGTTCCTGCGCTCTGTTCCCAGGAGCAAGCCCGGCTGAGTCGATGGAACTTAGCTCTGAATCGACGTGCCTTTGACGATGCGGTTTAGCACTGGGCTTGTTACGTTTGCGTTCCTTGTTTATGTCGCCCTGAGAGCTTCTGCTATAGGGCGGCCCATGAACTGAATAAATGACATATATGTAAAAGTTACGAAATGCCCTTATAGGATACGCTGCTGCTTGTTTGCCATATCGATGAATGGATTTACAAATGTCGAATCAAATGTGGTAGGAGACTCAGCCTTCCTTAGCCTGGGTGCTCCCAAATGTTTTGATCTCCACTCCTGTCAGCCCGAGTCACTTCTGTGGGTCTGAATCCTTGGACAATGGATATGGGATTGTAGTCGTAATGAACTCGTCCTGGATCAGACCAACTTTGTGACGCACATACCAATGCAACTTTGCATACATACCTAGCACCCCTTCTTGTTCTCCAAATGCTATATCAGAATTGTAATTGTTTTTGTCAAAGGTTTTTTTAATGCCTCCAACGTTATTCAGATAAGTTGCATTCATGACATATATACTCTGAGCGCAATAGTAATATGGAAGCAGCTTTAACAATGTTGGAATATCTGCTAGATATTAGTATAATTGTATGATATTGGAATGATTGTGCTACTATATTACACTGTACTATATTGTAATTGGTCTAATATTAGATAGAGCTGGTGTAGTTTAGCGTAGTGGCGAGTGTTGGATTGAGAACCTGAAGTTCTGGGTTCTAATCTGCACTTCACCACAGAGTGACTTTGGACAGCCACTGACACTCACCTAAGCTGCTCCACAGTGTTGTTGTGAGGATATTATTGAGAGGAGGAGAATTAACATAAGCCACCTTAAGTGAAGGGGAAAAGGCAGGATATAAATATGATGAACAAGAATTGTCATGGCTTGGATCAAGATATGTGTCCATGCAACTGAGTTGGCAAAAGCAGACTCCTCCCCAAAGCACATACTCCAGTGCCGGAAAATATTACAGCGGTTAGAGGGGCTGCTTAAAACGGGGAGCTATGGTGTGTGTGTGTGCATGCGTGTGGCTGGAGTGAGGAGAGAAAAAATCCTCCTGAAAGAGGTCGCACCAGCTTCTGTGAGTGAAGCCCTGCCATCCACATCTTTGAAAAGCAGATCTCAAATCTAGCCCTCGGTGAAGGCAACCATGTCTATTCATCCCACTTTTATTTAGGTGGTTCTCCCTTTCATGCAGACCGGTGCAGGTCCTAAGTGGGTTTTGTGTTTGTTGTACATTCACACCAGTAACAAGTAACCTGCTTTTTGCTGACATGGGGTTGAACCCAGACTTAGACATACTTAGTGTGGAGATCAGTAGAACTTAATTATGCCTAACTTAAATCCCACTGATCTAAAAGCATGTCATAGAAACATAAGAATCTGAAGCGAATACCAAGCCAAACCCTGGGTTCATCTAACCCAGGATTGCTGATACTGACTATCAGCTGCTTTTCAGGGATTTCTTTCCTAGCTGTACCTGAATATACCTGGAAGCTTCTGGAAGCACAGTGTGGTTTACCACTCAGCTATGGTGCTCTCCCTCTAATAGCTCTGTCCTAAGTATGACCAAGTCTGGCTCTAAACTATGGTGTCTGGAGATGGATTGCAAGTACTGTGTAGGTAATATGGTGGATTTTGAATTGTGCATGCTTGTATAGTGAGAACTACCAGAGAGGAAAATACATGCCGATTGAACGGCATACCCAGACTCACCCTGAGCATGCTTCCTTCTTTCATTTTAGCGGAAGAGTTTGAGCTGGAGGACATTGTGCCAGATCATGAAGTTGCCGCACAGATTGGTACTAAGCTGGTACTACGTTGCCGCAGCAATGGCTGTAACTCCCCACATTTCTCCTGGAGAACCCAGCTGGACAGCCCATTGGGTGGGGTTGCATACCAAGCAGGAAACAGTTCAGTCTTGACAATAGAGTCTGTGGGTTTTCAACATGAGAATAACTATCTCTGCAATGCTGCTTGTGGGCCCGAGAAGAAAGAAAAGAGAGTCAAGATTGACATTTATTGTGAGTAACTACAATTGAATTATTATCTAGAGAGCTTCTGCTGTTAGGTGGTATAGAAGATAAATAAATAAATTTCCATAGGATATGTGATTTGCATGCATAGCTACCTTAAATAACCTCATTTCTATCTATTGGTTAAACCCAATAACTGGTCGGCTTGAAGTCCCATTCTGGGATTCCACAGTCCACACCCCCACTGCTAATTGTTTCATGGCTTTCTGGTTTTTGCAGTTCCCCTGCCCCCATTCTAAAGTTTGAGATACGTCTCTTAAATCTAAATTACTGGCAGTAAGAAGCTTGTGGACATGCAGAGTTCACAAGTCAGACAAGAATGCTTGTATGAAAATTCACATGTTGTTCTTTCATTCATCCTCACCCATGACATAGCAGAGGTAGCCTGCATCTCGTATCCAAAATGGCAGCCTAAACCATTCTGAATACAGATAATATCTTAATCCCAGTCTGAATTCAGGTGTTATTGCATCTTTGTCTAATAACTTTTCGTTGTGTATTATTATAGCATTCCACAGAGATCCTATTATTAAGATCAGTGGCCCACTGGTTCTTGGGAAACCAGCTAAAGTCACTTGCATTGTTCCTGACGTGTATCCTTCTGACCGGCTGGAGGTAGTCCTGAAGACAGAGAATATTCTCAACAGAAAAGAATTCTTTGAAGAGTCATCTGTCCGAGAAGTACAGACAAAAAATGTGGATACTGTCTTTACTCCTATGGAGGGAGATATTGGAAAACAGATCACATGCACCGCCGAACTGCCAATTGAAGAAATGACGTTTGACCCCAAACAGAGGCTTGCAACACATCTACTTGATATACACTGTAAGTAATTAAGAATTAAGGTAATTGGGCTTCAAGACACATGCACATTAAGGTTTGAAGCCCTTGAGTACATACTGACTGAACCTATACATACTGAATGGGGTTATGCTCAGGTTAGTGTGGGTATAGGATTGTAACCTAATTCTACCATCCTAAGGTCTGTCGGGAGTACTACACAAATATAACAGGCTAACTCCAGTCCTCCGTCAGCTTCACTGGCTTCCCATTGAAGTCAGGGCCCAATTCAAGGTGTTGGTGATGACCTATAAAGCCCTAAACAGCTTGGGTCCTGGCTACCTGAAGGAGCGCTTACATCCATATATGCCCGGCCGCCCCTTGAGATCTGCGGGAGAGGCCCTTCTCCGGGAACCCTCCGTGAAAGAAATTAGGAGGGTAGGTACTCGGAGGAGGGCTTTCTCTGCGGTGGCGCCCAATCTATGGAATGTGCTCCCCAGAGAAGTCCGCCTGGTGCCGTCATTATTTGTTTTTCGGCACCAGGCGAAGACCTTTTTATTCAAACGTCATTTTAACTGTTAATACTATTTATTTATTCTATTCTTCGGCCAGGGCGACTTATTTTATATTGTTAACTTGTTTTATATTTTTATTGTATAATATTTTAATTGATATATTTGTGAGCCGTCCCGAGGCTTTGGCAAATGGGGCGGCATAGAAATTTTCTAAATAAATAAATTGTTCAGCGTATCACATTTTTACCCTGCCTTTCCTCCCAGCTTTCTTTAGCATAGCTGCACCCCACTTGAAGCTGCATGTGGGGGCTATTCTTTCCAAAAGTAATTTCCAAAGGGTTATCAAGCAAGCACCTTCCTCATAGTGGTCCAGCCTGTCTCATGCCCTTTGCTCCCAGTGTAGCTCTGTTGGGATGCAGCGTGCCTCCACAGTGTGAGCTGAACTGAGATCACTCACAGAAGTTGTTCTAGCCCAGTGGATGAAGCTGCTGCAATCAGCTATGGAGGCTTTGCTGAGATTTGATATGACTTTAAGTTGTCCAGTTCTCCTCTACCTGCTTCCCCATCATAGTGTATGTTGAATTCAGGAGCACATGGGTTTGAGCTTGATTATGTTTGATGGTGGTTCATCCAAACGTAGGTTTGGTGGCTTGAAGAGCTTATAACACTTTTAACATTTACAACGCCCTCTTGAATGGCAATGTGTAAATGCCACCTGTGAGTGGATACTTATATAGATTATTGGTTTCCTTTTGTTGCACCTTATTTATTGTTTTAGGAACCTCCTTCTTCATGTGTGTGTGTATATACATGCACTTCACATGTATGCAGTGAAATTGCTAATTCTATGCAACATTTTTTCTTTTTCCCTTTTTCTTTTGTCTAAATTGTATAAGAAAAATGTTTTTAAAAACCGTTGACTTGGTGATTTTGTTTTATGCTGTTAATGCATTTTCCCTTGCTATTTTTGTTTTTACATCACTGAACATCACTTTAAGTATTTTATTAAAGAAATGCTTCATCTGTTTAATAAACATCTACATAATTTGGGGCATTGACACAATCTCCGTATGGTTTTCAACAGTTTTCCTCGTTCTGGCATTCGCTGTAACGTGTGCATTTTATATTTCATCAGTTTAACTTGCCCCCCTTCTGCTTTCTTCAAGATGGCCCCAGGAATACATACATCACTGCATCTCCAGGCCTCACTCTGCTGGAAGAGAACATGCTGACGCTCACCTGCGTGACTGATAGTCACCCACCCGCAAATATTGTGTGGAAGAAGGAGTTGGCGAACAAAACCGTGCGGTTTCTTGGAGAAGGTCACAATTACTCCATCCCAAAAGTTCAGCTCAGTGACACGGGCACCTACATCTGTGAAGTCACAAATAACAGCACAAATGAAGTGGAAACAAAACCAGTGTCTATCTCTGTACAAGGTATGAAGCTGTAGGGGTGGACTATCTTAGCTAGAGAGTTTCAGTTAAGTGCTAAAACTTTAAATGAGAGAGCTGCTGAAAAGATTCAGAGTTCAAGATTTCTGTTTTTACCTCCTCTGTCCCTGGATGTCTCTCTCTCCTTTCATTTACTAATCAGCAAGGATATTGTATTGATAACAACCTTATTGATCTGTGATTGCTTTCCTGTTCTAACGAGACCCAGCCTAATTTTATACTGGGCAAGATGAAAGGAACTAATTTGGAATTACAGAATACTATGCATGATTATCCGCAAAATGTGCATGCATCCCTGTAACCAATACAAACTTGTTAGAAACCAGAGGTTTGGAATCTCTTTCTAATAACACTAATATAGCAATAAAATGCTGCTTAATCCCACAAGTAACTTCAGGATTCACAGATCAAAAGATTCTAATTACAGTCTGGACCCACTGTGTAGATATGATGTTGTGATACTTGACTTGTGAATGATCCTAGACTTGTGAATGAAGTCTTGGTCAAAAGAGGTAACTGTGAAGTAATTAGGAAGGGGCTTGAAGGATGGAACTGTATGTGAACACCAGCTCTTCTATTTCTGCAAGAAATTGCCCATTTTTCCTGGATATAAACTTGTAAATGCTCACTTTAGTAACTGCAAAGTAGAGCAGTTAGGTGTATCATGTGTAAAATATCTAACAATGGACACTCAAGCCAGGTTGCAAATGGATGTTTCTCTTCATGCAGGTGCCCCCAGACATCTCAGCTTCTCCATTCATCCTGCCACAACAGTGCAAGAAGGAGAAAGTGTTACTTTGCGGTGCTCTGCAGAGAGCAACCCCGCAGCCAGGATCACCATAAGGAAGAAAACGCCTGGCCAGAACAAGCTACTTGACAGCCAGGGCGGATCTGTCCACATCCTAAGTGTGACTCCTGATGCTGCAGGAGACTATGAGTGTGACGTGAAGAATGAATTTGGGGAAAGCAAAACATTAAGAACTCTAAGGGTAGAATGTAAGTTTTCATAATAACAGTACCTAAACTGACATTTCTGAGCTTTAGGAGCACTTCACCCTACGTATCTCAGCAACACAACCTTGTATGGTAGGCTTAGATTAGCCAGGTCTACTCACTTCCTGACTTCAGGTGCCATTGAAGGAACTCATTTTAGAAGGCCTTTTATAAGTCATAATTTGACGATTGTGTTCCTTCTTCTGATTGATTTAAATGAAACTCAAACCTTTACTGGTATTGCTTGCCACTTTCTGAAAAATGTGGAAAAATGTATAAATATCGATTCTCATATTGCATATAAGGAACTGAGAGAAAGTTGGTTTGTCTTATGGCCACACAGGAAGTTTCCAGCTCACTATCCCACTGTCAATTACTTGGTGGGAGATTGTGCTGCCCAGATAATTTCTTTATAGTCCAATATGTTTATGAAACACTATCAGTGTACAATGTTCTTAGAGTAAATTTGGCAAAAATTTACCCCTCTCCCCAACCAAAAAAAAGTCTTCCCCATATCGGTGCCTTCTGGATGTGTTGGACTACAAATCTTTTCATCCGCCAACCCATGGCCATTGGTTTTATTAAGTGGGAATGGTGGAAATTGTAGTCCTGGAAGAGCTCCAAGATGTTGAGGGCTGAGATTGGCTGTCTTGTTTGGTATAGAGAAAAGGAGATACAAGAATAGCAAGGGATGGGCATGAGCAAGTGCCGTTGTGTGAACCTAGGGACCAAAGTCCAATTTGCCTTCATATTTCAGAACACAGTACTATAGATAGTATAACTGTAAAAGCTTACCCAGACCAAGCGGAGCTCCTCTGTCTTCATGCCTTCAATCAGAAGGATAGACTCCTCGATGAAACTTGAATTGGATGTGTAAGGAAAATGGTTGGCATTGCCAGTACGCATTTGGGAACGACAAATCCCAGTTTTTGGCCCAAGAGTTTGCCCATTTCTCTTCTCACCAGAAAAGGAGATAATTTCATTTTAATTTGTAGAAGTTCAGTCTTTTGGGCGGGAGAACTGTCAAGAGCTTGGCACCTTGCAGGAATCTGAATCATCTTCTTCTGAAGATATTTCCAGGTCTTCTACACCCCAAGTCTCCAGCTGGGCATGTATAACCTAAAGGCAGAACATCAGTAACAAAGAGTATAATTTTGTGTTTTGTTTTAGATGGGCCAAGGAACACAACGATCAGTGTCACTCCTTCTAACACAGTGAAGGAAGGTGAAACTGTAACTATGGTTTGCTCCACTTATGGAAATCCCACTCCAAAGGTTTCCTGGAAAAAACAGCTAGTAAATGGAGATTCACAGCTTATTCAGAAAACTGCTACCTTAACCATAAAGAATGCTCGTGCTGAAGATAATGGACGTTATTGGTGTGAAGCAGTTAATCTGTTTGGAAAACACAGGAATGCAGCGGAAATTACCATTCAAGGTAAATTAAAGAATATAATGAAACATGTTCTGCTTGAATTTTCAGGGTCAGATGATCCTCCTCATTTTGGATTAGGGAGGTAATTAAAAAAATACTTCCAGAAAAATTCTCCTCTGAGTTTAATGTTGGAATATTTTCTAGCTAATCTCTAGTATCTGCCAAATATTTTCACACAGTTTCTATGCGTTCAGCACCCTATTATTTTCTTATATCAATATTTGGCAGTATTTGCACAGTATCTTAGACTTTTCTGGTTATTATCAGTCATTAACACAGCTGCATTTGTCCCCTTCCTTTGTCTGCAGTCTCTTCACCAGCTACTCCAGCATTAATTGATCATCCTGAAGGTTATACTGAAGTAGGTTTCACTATTAAGCATACAACTGACAGCTCTCAAGATCAAGATGCTGATATAAAAGAAAATACTAAAAACTATACAATCTCACTTGACAGTATTTCAAGCGGTACAGAAGAGACAAAAATAATGATAGGTAGGTAATCTCTCTACCCTATCCCGCATGCTAATATTCATACCAAAAGATGTGGTGGGTGTCTGCCTCATTTGTATCAGGCCATTCCTCCACTTGTAGCAAATGCGCACTGTAGATCATGTGGAGAGTAATTGTCTTTAGGTCCTGGGGAGAACTTCTTGGCAACTTGAAGCTGGCTCACCGTAATTGATCCACATTACCACACCGCTGCCACAGCTTCAACCATTATGAATGGCAAAAGAGCATCCATTTTAAATGAGGCTTCCTCTTTACCAGTCGTTCATTTCAGTAAAGAGCAAAATTGGGATTGATTTTACACACAGTTACTTCTGACGGCCATCTTGACCCTGAAGACTTTTTGATGGGCAGAGCACAGTCGGAATAATGAGCCTTATCCTGGCTCCTGCTTACTGCAGTAGCAAAATAGACACTAAAATACATCCTCAGTTTGGCTGCCCCACTCACCACACATTGTCTGGTGTGCTCTGATGAATTCTGTGTGATTGCCTGCAACTACTACTTCAGTCTGAAGCAGGAAAACACAGGTGAATTTGGCATTGTTTTGAATCACTGTCAATACATTGCCCTGCATTTTTAGTAATGCATCCTCATTCTGCACCCTTGTCCAAGTCATGTACGGGGCAGGTGCATTCTTTTCTCCTATGTTAATATAACTGGAATAAAAGCCATTGCAAGGCCACGAGTCAGATTTATTGTTTTTAAAGTACAAAGCAGTAAAACCCTGGGAAAATAAGAGGCAGGGAGAATGGATGCGCCAGGTTTATAACAGAGTTTACTTTGCTTCAGTGAGGATGTGAGAACTGGGACTTGCTCCGGGGAGGAGGGACTCAAAACTTGGAGCCAGTGCAGGATTTCCTCCACTTGAGGCCATTTCCCTAAATATTATTTTGCACTTCAGGAAACTTCAGGATTGTCCTTTATCTGCTAATAACTTATGCATGGATGGTGCCAGTTTGGCTACATAAGGACTGAAGTTGATAAGACAACTTGACTCCTGAATATGATGCACCAAATGTTTGAATGAGGAGTGGGTAATAAGAACTCAAGAAGGGAAGAAAATGTTTTGCATTTGTGGTTCATCAGATAACATGGCAGGTGCAACAAGTTTCCAATGCCTCCTTTCTTCATTTTTCCAGCCAAAATAAAAGAATCCAATTACGTGATTCCTGTGATCATTATGGTTTGTTGTTTAGCAACAGCAGCAGTTCCTGTGATAGCAGTTTTGTTTTACATCTCTAAGAAGACAAAGGCCAATGGATTCTACAGTCTTGTAAGCTCACTGAAGCCTCAAGTGTAAGAAAAAGAGCCGTAGCTACACATTTTCTGCAATTTTACCAGTGGGTAACATGTATTTCTTTGAAATCTCAATGGCCTTTCTCCTGACAACTCAGGGTGCAAAGCATTGATTTGTTCTGCTTTGGAAAGACCATAAACCAAAATCACACCATTTCAGGTGATGCTGAGGAGCCAGTGTGCTGAAGCAGTGGCTAGTATGTTGGCGTGGGAAGGCTCGGCTTTGTCCCCGCTCCCGAGAGTGATCACTGGGTGATCTCGGGCCAGTTGCTAAGGGTGCTTCTTGGGCAGGCTTTAATTCCGCAATCACCTTGGCTTAAGAGCAGGTGTTTATGAGGGGCCTAAATAACACTGTATTCCATCAGTAGCCCTCTTGTGATTTTACTATGACAGAAAAACCAAAAACAATTAAAGAGGGTAAATAGTTGCACAGTGCATTTTGATTTGTAGTGCTAGGTGATGTCTGCCCAGAAGCACCCTATTTTTTTTAGGCTAGCCTACCTCACAGGGTTGTTGTGAGGATAAAATGAAGTAGGGCAATATGTGCTACCTAAGGTTCTTGGTGAACTTTAAAGACATCTGGCAAACCACTTGAACTGGAGTAGGGGTGGAGAAGCAGTAACTGCTCACAGAAGAATTGTTCACTTTTGAGTAGAACTGCTTTCAAAGAAGGAAATCCTGGAAACATTGGTTTTTCCCTGTACATAAGGTATAACTTCCTGAATAGATGTCAGACAGAGTTGAACCTTTTAGTTTACAGACCTTCAATAGCCTACTACTTCATGGGGGAGGAGGCTGTCTGGCTGCAAGCCTTGTGGACTTGTGTTCCCTCCTGCACCAAAGAAGCCATGGCTGCATTTAGCAGTTGCTGTGGAGCTTGGGCAGGCAGAGGTCTTGCGCCCATCCTGCTCGAGGGATCCTTGGGGCAGCTGGTTTGCCACCATGTGTACAGCCTGATCCAGTGTAGCTTTTCTTATGTTTTGACTTCTGCATATAGTCAATTTATTCTACAAGTAACAGAACAATATTTGTGCCATTGTTCCGAGAACAACATGGTGTGTTTGTATTATTGTGGAGCATTTTTTTTCACTAGGAAGTCATTCAATTCAAGCTGACCATTTTAAATCCCCACTGATTTCAATAAGAAATATTTTAAATGAGCCCTTCTTTTTTGAGATCATGAGTGCTTTCAAGGTGCTTCATTGTGACAGAAAGCAGTGTCTTCAATAAAATATGTTAATGGCACCTTCGTTATATAGATACCCCTCCTCCACAGTCATTGGTAGTAATATAATCCAGCTACATCACTGTGATCTAAAGTTCTGTGAAAAGGACTAGGGAATTCTGATGGAGATCTCTCAGTACCCTTTGAAATTATAGATCCAAGATTCCTTTACAGCACTTAAGCTGGTATAAAACTGACCTAAGTTTGTAAGGTAAGCATGTTCTTTGATTCATGCCTGATGCTGAGCCAAATTAAGGCTGCAATGCTATGCACACTTAAAAGGGGGGCATATTTCGCTGCACTCAGACCCTACTCTGAGTAAGTATAGTTATAAGCATGTTGCACAGGGTCTTCCACCCATGACTGGAACAGTTAAGGGTTTAGATTTTACAAGATTTATTTTAAACTATTAAACCACTAAATTGACATTCAAAATTGACTTTGAGAGATGTATTTCACAAAAAACTTGTTGTATACTTGTATACCTGAAACTGCCATGTAGCTTCTGCTAGAGGAATATGTTTATCCTCATTTTAAGATGTGGGTGGGGGTGTGAATCAAAACACAAGTTCATGTTGTTGGTACTTTTACTTCTTGCACAGTATTATTTAAATATGTTTGTAATAACAGCTTTCTTCTGTGAAATAGAATGTTTGTGTTTACATAGGGGAACATGCAATGTAGATTCTCCTTTGGCTGGATGGTGAAGTTGCCCAAATGCTTTAACCAGATGATGTATGATCAACTTAGTAAATAAATCTTACTTTATAAGACTGGCTCCATTCTGTGGAACTTGCGCGACTTCACAAGACTTTAAAAGTGCCATCGTATGACTTGATGTGCCTTAGCTGGAACCACTCTCACTTTTGCAGTCATGGGCCCACATATGTTTGTCAGAAAAGCAGCTAGTGGGCACTGGCATAACTGTGTAGTGAGTCCGTGTCTACTTACTTAGTCCCTAGATGTGACACTTACACCGACAGCATTGGCAATATAAGTCAAAGATAAGAACCAGCATGTGTAGGCCCCCAGGTGTAGTCATTTCACGGCCTGAGATGAAGGACAAGATGCAGCCTTCTTCCCCAGCCCCAGTATTTCAGGTCTCAAGCCAGGTTGAATCTTGCTTCAGGATTGGTAATAGATTAGCACTCGATTGCACTTAATTGAGGTGGGGCTCACACAACTCTGTTAAGCACCACACCTGCAGTTCCTTACCCCTAATATTTGCTTCCAGAGGGGCCTGCCCCATAAGCATAAAGGTAAGGGCCCACTCTTCCTGGAGGGTGAATTGTTGTGGACTCCACTAGGGTAGATTATTATTTTTTTGTTTGTTTTGGTTTGGTATTTTGTTGCACTTTCAATTCACATTAGGATGCTCAAAGGGCCAACCTGAACCCAATGGGCTAGGGTCAGCCACAAGCAGCTGATTTAGGGTAGGATTCACACATTCAACAATTAGATAATTGGTCATGCAGTTCTTGTGCTGAGCACAGCTAGTCCAAACATCCCCATCAGATAAAGCAGCAAACATGCAAAAAAGACTTTGCTGCAACATCTCTCTCTCCAGCAAATGCCTATACTATTGTGTAATTCCTGTTGTGCTTTTAAGCATTGTGATTACTCTCAGTGATGAAGCTGCTGTCTGGAAGAGCCCAAATAGTCTTGGTGACATCATGACAAGTTGCTTGAACCCCAGATAAGTCAGAAGGACGAGTCCAACAGTATCCCACAGGACCACCAAGTACCCTCTCCCTGACAGCAGTAATCGTGAGCCAGTTTTGGTTTGCTGCAGCTGTTGCTATAATTTTGTTTTTCCAACAGTACAAAACCAGGCAAGAGTTGGTTTTCAGAACTGCTTTAAGGAGCAGGCATGAGCTGCTATTTAATAGTGCCCAGGGGAGCCTTCACGGGCTGCCCTTTATTTATCCTGTACCTGCAAATGGGTGCATTTTTTTCTTCTCCTCTGTCCCCGTTGTGTGAACTGTGCTTGTTAGCTGAGGGATGGTGGGAAAACGTCTTTCTCCAGCTTGGACAATTGCAAAAGGCTGGTTGTTGGAAGGGACCATTGGCCAGCCCCAGCATATCCGTTCCTCCCCTGGCTTTCAGGGGTGCCAAGGGATATTTTACTGAGAATGGGATCTTTTCCACAAATAGCAGCCAGCAAGATCTTTATCCCCTATTCAGTCCCCATGAAGGAGTACATTTAACCTTTGTCCCGAGAAGGGTCAAAAGCGCCCTTCACCGTTTTTTAAAAAGAGAAAACCCATTTGACAGGTGCCAAAGTTCAATTCTCAAGCTTTGTGGTCCCTTTAAGAAGGGAATTTGAGTGCAACGGGAGAGGGTTTGGACTGGGACATACTCAGTGGTACGTCCCAGTCCAAATCCACCAACTCCCCCATTTTTTATCAGCAGTGCTGTGGTCTATCATAGGAATATTGCTTCCAAAATGCTTGGCTTCTTTCTGTGATATTTGCTGATGCATTCAGACCCATCCAGAGGGCAGAAGAGCAGCTACTTTTCCCTGGCAATAGCAGAGCTTCTGTCAGTAGCTATTTGCTAGCAGGCATGCTTTTATTTAGGCAGAATCCCCAGGGTGAAGCAGAAGTCCAGGACATTGTAGAAAGAAAGAGGCGTTGAAATTATTGCCAGTGCAAAACCAAAGGCTCCCACCAATGGAATAGCAGAGCAGTCTGGGTAAATATAATGCTGTCAACCTTCTCCCCACAAAAAACAACAGTTTAAGAAAGAGACACCCCCATATCCCTTATAAATGTAACGAAATGAATGCCATATTAACAAATTGAATGCATTTTTCACAAATAATAACTGTGGCTTGGTTATTAAATAAAATCAAAAGGAGTAACGAAATGAAAAGCAAAAAATACTTCATGTTCCTTAAAGGCAACAAGGCTCCGCTGCTCTCCCAGCCACAGGAAACCAAGCTCTTTAGTGTTACTCCTGGATGATTTACTTGGCTGCAAAGTAGAATATCTGTACAAAAAAATACTAGAGATTGCCAGGAAAATAGCAAAGGGGGAATTCAGCTCACTTTGAAAGTCAATATGACCCACTATTGTTTTGGGCCTGTGAAGCATTTTGTTTCAGAAATACAAAAAACCAGCACAGTCTCCAAGTCTGCTGTAGTCCTTTCAGCCAAATTCATTATCAGCTTCTTGATCCGGTATAATCTTGGAAGCTAAGCAGGATCAGGCCGGGTTAATATTTGGATGGGAGACTTCAGTCCTGCATTGAGCAGAGGGTTGGACCTGATGGTCTTCAAGGCCCCTTCCAAATACTTGATTCCATAATTTCAGATGCTATTGGTACTAAAAACAAGGACAGCAGAGCAGTATGCAACTGAAGAACATCCCTCTCTTTCCTGCAATGTTTCAGAGGCCAAAAGGATAGGAAAATCAGGATACCTGCCTCTTCCCACTAGTCTGCCATTTTGTTCTAATACATTGTAATGTACATGAAAATTCAGTCTTATTAACAATAGTCCAACAAGCTGCTTTTCGAGTGATTAGGGGACCAAGCATACCCTACAGTAAGTCTCCACATTTGCCTCTCCACCGCCACACCTCCTAAATGAAGTATCTATAAGGAAATCGAAAAGTGCTACTATAATATTTCTACAAATCTACTGTAATGTTTCCACAAATCTATTGTAATGTTGTGTGCGGTTCTGGTCAGCACACTTTTAAAAGGATGTTATAGAGCCAGAAAGGGTGCGGCGAAGAACAAGCAATGTTATCAAGGGGCTAAAGCAACCCCCCCCCCCCCGTGTGGAAAGTTTGGATGGGGTGCACGCCACCCTTCGCACCCAACGGCCAGGAGGACATTGGCACTGCCGAGGCAATGCACTGACTGTGCCCATTCCTGACGACATCCGTACATGGATTAGTTGCGTCATCTTTGGATTTCTTTAATATGTTCTGTGTTGGGCTACCTCTGAAAACAGTTCAGAAACTTCAGCTGGTCCAGAATGTTGAGACTAGACTCTTGACCAGGGTTGGTGAGAATGAGCATGTAACTCCCTGGCTACTGCAGCTTCAAAGTACACTCCCAGCATATTTCTGAGCAGAACTCAAAGGTATTTGAGTTATAGGTATTGACCTATAAAGTTATACGTATTGACCTATAAAGTCCTATATGACTTGGGAACAGGCACCTCAAAGACTATTTGCTCCCATACATGCCATTTGCCCAAGTCAGTTCTCAAAATAAACCCATAAATTCAGGCCCAGATAGAAGGGCTCTTGCTTGGTCATTCTGCGTACGTGGCGATGTGGTGCCCAGTAAAGAACAGCAGCGAAACTTGAAGCCCATGTTTCCTAGAAAAACATGCAGCTACATTCCAGGATTTCTAAACAATGAATTCTTTATTGAATGTGTGCATGGGATGCGTCAAAAACTGCAGAAAATTGACAGTGTAATCTTGGCAGAAGACAAGCACTGCATCATGCATCTGTTGGCCAGAGCAGGTTCACAGGTCTATTTTGCAATCATGAGACCTGTTTCACCAAGGCTTTTAGTTCATTAAAAAAGCTGATATCTCTCTTTATTCTCTTCTCTTTTCTTGTTGTCATTCAAAATTGGTTTTATTGACTGAGGCAATATGTTGGTGTTTATAGGAAGTCATGGAAATGTTGCTGGTTGTAGATCATAAGGAATCTAAATAGCTTCAGTGTAGCTTGTTTGTAGACATGCAGAAAAAAACCTTGTGACTGTTCTACCAAAAATAATTTATGTATTCCAACCCATATTTACTACTGAATTTCCATTGGCTTCCATTGGCAGCCTAGGCTGAGAATTGTGTTCATGGTGAACAATCAGAGAATCATCTAAAATATTTGAAGGGCTGTCAAATATTTAAGATGATTGAACAAAGTTGTTTTCTGTTGCTTCAGATCATAGGACTTGAACCAAATGATCCACATTACAAGAAAGGGTTGAAAGAATATCTTGGCAAGACAAGCCATTTGCTGTGGATCTCGAAAGTGACAGATGGAGGTTTTAAAGCTGAGGCTAGCCATAACAACATAACACAACATAATACGGCATCAGTTGGGATGTTGGCCCTGGTGATTTTGGAAGCCCTTTCTGATTCTGTGATCCTAGCTACCTAGCCAACTTCAAAATCTCCAGAGGGTGAGTAGGATGAGTTGCATCACTCACACCTATAAATTTATCATTATACCTTTATACTCTGCCTTTCTTCTTCTTGCAGGAAACTCAAGATGAGGTACAAGGCTTTTCTGCTCTCCATGTCATCCTCAGAACATCAGCCTTGTGAAATCACGTAAACTAGAGTCCATGCATAGTCCAAAGTCACCTAGTGAGCTTTGTGGCAGAATGGGGACTAGCGCCTGGACCTCCTGAGTCCCAGAACAGCACTGCAACCACTACAAAACACTGGCTCTCAGTTAATCGTATGAATTCGATGGGTTTCCAGAACAGGTCTTCCAGAGCTGATCGTTGAGGGCCTGATTGACCTGTCTGGAATTAAAGGCTGGATGTTAGCTCTTGCGGATGTGATCTTCCAAGCTTCCCCAGGCAGAAGGCCTAAGTTATTCATGGAAAGCCATTATTGGTTCTTTCCAGATAGATTATTACTTTGGTGAGCATTTTTGCAACTTTTTGATTTCCCTTTGCCTTTCTGCAAACTTTCCTTGCAATTGTCTGAGCAGTCACGGAGTGAATACACTAGTCTGCAAAGTGAAGGAAACCAGAAGATGGAAATTTGAGCAATATTTCAACACTGGGCCAAT